AAGTTCTTAAACATATTTTTCCTAAAACAGAGAACAGTAAATAAGGAAGTAAAGCAAACAATTCTCTTCTAGTTATGACCTTTGTAACAAAATATATTTTTTTAGGTTTTATATATATATTTGAAGTAACCAAAAAAATCATAAATTATTATATCAATACCATAGAATTCTAGTAAATTTATGAAACATAGTAACTAAGCTGTATTTGGGTCTAAAAAAAAATTTCAAATTTCGATCAGACTAAAGACACAACCTACCTCATTGAAATCTTAGTTCAAAAGAAATAAATGGCATTAGCCATGTTAGGAAGGTTGAGAAAACCACTAGGGGGACATTCGGAGCTTCTGATTGGTTATTCATGTCATATATAGAAGTGTATATAAGGGAGCATTTCCAAAAATAGAAAGAGGTGGGCGAGGTGCCACTGTGTTTGATTTATTTCATGAGCAATATTTTAGCAAATAGATAAGACCTTCTTATTTTTGATTCTAGCTTGTCAATATCTGTAATTTAAGCTACTAATTTGTATGAAACTATAGACTTAGTATTTTGACTTCACAAACATCTAATTTGAACCAGTGCTGCATTAAACATACCATGTGATACACAAAAATCAATGTTTATCTGTGTTTTTTTTTAATTAAGAAATTGAGTAATTTATAGTTCTAAAATTTGAATTATAATCTACAGTTTGATACCAAAATTATTGACATAAATTCATGAAATAATAGTTCAGGAAAATTTTGAATGTGAATCAACAAATGATGTTTATCTGTGTTTTTTTTTATTTATTTGTAAATTAAGAAATTGAGTAATTTATAATTCTAAAATTTGAATTATAATCTACAGTTTGATACCAAACTTACTGACTTAAATTCATGAAATAATAGTTCAATGAAATTTTGAATGCGAATCAACAAATGAGATGACATGGCCTTTCACCTATGACCCATCTTGAAAGGGTTAATTAAAAGGTGCCTAAGGTGATGAGGTACACTACCAATAAGAATGCCTGTTTCTGATGTCCTTGTTTGGTCCCATCTCTTATAGGTGGTCTACTGAACTTATTTCTCCCATGCATTCAGTCCATTTACTTTTTCTTTAGTTCTGGATTCTACTGAATTCTGCTTGATCAATTCCTTCTATTGTAGTGGTTTAGGTTTATTATCTTCCTGCCTAAAAGCTCAATTGTGATGAAACTGTGAGTATACGACTCTCTCCAGTGCCTTTTCATGTGGAAATTCTGGCTTTCAGTATTTCAGATGTAAGTCTACTAGATTTGAATTTTTACATTTTAAAGATGAAAATGAATTTCAGCTACTTACCCCAGAAATATATTCCCACCCATCTCCTCACAGCCAAATGATAGGTGGTTTTTGCATCATGACAACATCTTAGAAATATGAATTATGGTGGTAAAGCAGATTCATAAGATCTACTTACACATGCATAATAAGTGATACAGAAGATGGAAAACTGGAGAATTATGTACATTTAGTAATTAAAGTCGCACTATTGTTGACAGTATGAGAGGAAACTGAGCAAGGACGAACTTCCAGTAGTTCAGATAAAAAGTACCTCTTTAAAATTTGATTTAATTCTGAAAATTTAAAAGTAAGGTATGCATGTTAGATTTTGTTTTTGGTATCTTATGTTTTAATAATAGATTTGTATAGTAAAAGATGTATTGAAATTAGTGTGTTATGATATTTTTTATGTTTATCGTTATGTTGATCTGTCTTTGAAACAAAAATAAAATGGTTTTTATTGTGAATTCTTCTTTCTACTTTTTCTTTCAGAGCATGGATAATAAGATTGCACAAAATGATGAAATCTTAGCTTTGGAAAGTATCTATGATGAAAAAATGTTCCTTGTGGACCGTGAAAGAAAGAATCCACGTGGCTGGTTTGTAGCTCATACTTCTGTACCCAGGTCTTTGTGTCTAGTTTGTAATAGAGATGGTAAGTTTAGTTGCTTAAATACATGAATATTGTCATTTGTTTATTGTGCAAGTGGTTAAGATTTTCTAATTATATTGGATTAAAATGAACTTTTTTTTCAGAAATAATATTTCATTAACTTATGTGAAAATTCTATTTCTTTAATGTAGCTTGTATTTTAACCCAGGCAAATATCCTCTCTGAGATTTAATGACTTTATATCTTCAAGGATTTTTTAAAACTATTTATACAGTCATAACAGGATCTTTAATGTTATACTTATCATATCAGACAGCAGATGAATTTCATAGACCCACTTCACTATTATATGACTTAAAATTAACACAAGATCAAATTTCACATTATATCAAATAAACAATCATCATTAAATTATCACAATTATTTGATAAAGATGAATAATTTTGGCTAGAAGATTTGTACTAATTATTACCACACTTTAACACCAGTTTTGCACTAGCATTAAACTGTGGTATACCATGCCCTTTACAACCTATCTAAACAACTACAACAACAAAAATGTGTGTGCTGTACTATCTTAATGTGTTTGACCACTGCATTATTCTGACATGGTAAGAAACATTGTAACTTGATAAAACCATAGATAACTAGTCAAAATTTAAAACACCACAATTTCAAACTGAATGAAACATCAACAAGATGTGCAGCTGTACAGAAATAAAGAATATTAACATTTCTTCTTTATAAATTATACTAAATAAGGTGTCAGAACATGACAAAATATTAACTCTCTAGTTTTTTTTAGATAATATTGTTTAAATGCTTAGAATTAACATATAAAGTTACCTTACTAATTTGTGAAAATATGGGAAAGATCAAGGAAATCTTGTCTTGTTACAATGATTTAGGAGTAACTTACTTTGTTCATTCTAAACTGTTGTACATGAAAGTATATCTTACATGCAAAGTAGTACAAAACTTGTAACAACCTGAAAATAATATGACTAATACCATTCTGTAGGTTTCTCCCTACAAATTTTGAGAACACTACTTTACTAAAACTACTAGTTTGTGTGGCATTTTAAAACAACAAATTTTTATGTAAAGTAAATCAATTTTATCATCATAATAACATCAACAATAAAATATATAAAAAAAACTAGTTTCAGCTATAGGCCTAAACTATGTTTAAGTTTATTGAATACTTCATTCACTCTTGGAAATAGAATTATTTTTCAAGAAACAAGCAAAAAGCAGTACTGATGTTCATAACAAAAAGTAAAATGAACAATGTCAAACACTATTTTTCATTATACTTATAACCATGTACCACTAGTAAATTTAGTAATAAGATCAATTAGAAAGCCAACAAAATCATCATGAGTTCTTCAGTTGGGTTATAATCCAGTGATTTCAAAGCTTCTATATTTATTTTGAGCAATTTGATTGATGTGTAATTAAAATTAAATAGTTATCATTATAATTAGAAAAAACTACAAGCTCTACACCTAAATTAATGGTTTGGCATTCATAAACAAGATGTCTGTTTTCAATTTATTTTTAAGCTTGTCACATATATGGTGATAGCACTTACGTTTTTGCCTGTCCTGATATGATACCTTACTTTCACTCACATAATAGCTTTTCTTGTTCAGTGCTGCCTCATTTAGGTACAAAATTATTTGCTAACTTCTAACCTTGATACTCCCACTTATCCCATGTGTTTATGTGGTACAAGCACATTGTAGCATAGAAATAAGCATGTGACACACCCTCCTGGCATAGCTGGCTCTCTCTCTTCTGTATAACTCAATCTTCACTTCTCAATTTGGCAATGTAATGTGAAGTAATGTTAAAATTTTGCTTGTGATTTTGCTTTTTTGAATTTTTCAAACTTTTTTCTCCACAACTTTGTTGTTTCTGTTTCTTTTTTTCTACAGTTAAACTTCAGTTACTGTTGGTTGTTACTTTTGTTATCCTCTCTCAGTTGAGTTATGAATTCCTATTTTCAAATCATGTTAACTACTACACTAATTAACACCACTACTACACCTCAACCTACAGTTTCTCAGACCCCACACTTTCAGCAGAGGAGGTCTCAGTTTTAGTATGCCATGAATTGGAATCCATTATGTGGCCTACAGTGTTTCCTGACTCCAGAACAGTTATTCCCTTACCTGGTGAACTTGGATAATCCTATAATCCCCCTGTCAGTGTCCCCATACCATTTTCTGCCCTTCTGGATATGGTGTCACAGGTATGTTACATCTTGTCTGTGTCTTGTATGTCATATGATTCCTCTCCTTTCCTATTACATTCCACCCCTTCCTCTGACTACCTGATTTTCCTTCCATCTCCAGATAGTGGGGTCCATGCTGACCAGTTTGTGGCACAGTTATGTTTTGGGGTCAGTATGCCTTGTCCTCCTCATACCTCAGATAATTACACTTTGGAATACCATCGTTTGGACTTTCTATTTGTCAACTATCAAACTATTAACCCTATGACTACTGGTGTACTCTTTAGATTCCTTTCTGTGCATGTAACAAAGTGTTCCTGAGTTACATTCAAAATTTAATTGAAGCACTTTACTATCATTGTAAAGGAACCTCTGAAACAAACAATTAAAACTTCAGTTCCTTGTTACATGATGCATGTGCACTTGTAAAATCTTACATTTGGTTGCTTATGTTTCTTTTTATGTTTCTCTCAGTACCTGTACGACAGTCTAGACAAGCTACTACAAATACTAGGTCAAAGTCTAAACATTAGTTACATTTTACACAGGCATCATTCCAAGAATTAGCTTATTATTTGCTCTTTTATGATAGACTCCATGTCCACATTCCAAAGTAACCTGTTGCTAAGCAACAGTCTTTTCTAGACTTGAATGGCATGCTTATAACCAAGAGAGAGAGCATATTTTCTTCAGGCTAAAAGGAAGGGTGGACCATAAATAATTCTTGAAATGGCAAGCTAGCTGCAGCGTGTCCATTGTCGAGATTGGTACCCCCTTGCACTTGACTATTTTTTCACCTTATACATATTAGTTTGATAGACAGTTAAATTGCATTTAGAATTAACTTTTATGTTTTAGTTAAATATGTATTATTTGTGTTTTAAAATTCGTATTTGAAATGTTTAATGATTTTTATAAGTTTACTTGTTCGTTTGATGTCGCTTTATAAATATATGTGTGCAATCCATTTTGCCTGCAGCTGATATGTCTCTGCCGATCATCATGTTATAATGGACTGCAGACACCAGTTGATAGTTCAACACAAATAATAAAACCAAATAATTGGAAAGGAAAATAAAAAAAATAAAATAAAAAAACTAAGTGAAAAAAGTAAAAAATGTGAAATTATGCATATGACCCAAACAAAATATTTTAAGACAATTCTATGAAGGTAAGTACATATTTCCATTTCTTAATTTTAACTATTTCATTGCACTGTACATTGATGATAATAACTAGAGTTAGTGATATAGTAGAGAAAATGGAAAATAAAATATAAATATTTACCTTAAAAAAACTTTTGATATTCATTTAGGAGGTTCTAGAGATTATGCAAATGAAATGTGAAAACTGTAAGATGATAAGTAGTATTGTTATACTCCAAATGAAAATCGTCATGCAGGTGAACTATGCATAGTTCGAGTACAAATAGTTTCATTAAATAATGACTTTTTTATTAGAAATAGAAGAAAAAAATCAAAATGAAATACTTTATTTTTCTGAAACTACATTCTTTTAGGAAGGTTCTGGTCAAATTTCAAATAATTTCATTCTCTAGTTTTATTTTTGGAATGAAATATAATGATAGTGACATTACCTATGGACAATAACCAAAGCCAGTAGACATAGGCTTAATCCAGGTGTGGGGTTCTGACCCTGATACTTCTGTGAGATTTACCAAAGCCCAGTATTCCTGCTATAGTATGTCCCCCTCCACCATCTTGAGATACCCCTCTTTCATCCCTTTTCTGTCTGAGGCTATCCACTTCTCACCAGAGGAATTTTTTGGGGATATTTTATCCAGTATGTATTCCATGTTGGTATGATTGTCTTCCTTGGCGCCCCTTTTTCTTTCAAACATGGCTCCCCTGTTGTTAGGATCTTCTGGGTTGGGACACACCTTTAACTAATGTGTGCCTACCCATAACTTTTTTGTGGGACCACTATTTGGCCCTATTTTTACATAGGACAGTTTTTGGAGATCTTAACTCTATTGGAGTCTAGTATGGAGGCTTCTTGTCAACACTCCTCCCTTACTTCTTAGGTCTCTTCCTTATCGCAGCCTTCACCTGTTCCTGTTTCATGCCTTCTTCTTCCTGCTTCTTTGCCTGTTCCTTTTTTCCAGGTTTCAGGAGCTAGCTGTCAGATTGCTCATCACTGAGCAGGGCTCAATTTTAATGGTCATCCAACATGACTAAAAACTTCCTCGATTGACCAACTTAAATCCCCTGTGTTGTCTCATGCACATCTAGAATCCTAAAACAGACCCTTACTCAAAACAGCATTGCAGTCTACTACACTTATCCATGCTCACACTACACACATAATCCTTGGCCAAAAATTAAATCATTGGTGTTGGTGGCCAGGAAACTCGGGGTATATAATTGAGGGTTATATACGTGGTCATATACGTGGTTATTCAACGTGGTCCATTAAATGTTGGGTAATGAGTGTTACTGAAAGTTGTTTCGAAATAGTCGGCTAGGATAATTACTCTCTAAGTCTGTTTTTGCCTTGGTGTTTATGTATTTTATCTGGTGGAAAGTACTGCTACTGTTTTTGTCCATTATCGATTTGAATTTGTTTCCAAAAATACTTTGGATTATTTCATGAGTTGTCTAGATTGTTGCAAAATTGTAACCAGTTAACACATTAGAGTGTGTTGATGCTTCTTTTTATTTCTGCTGTGAGTTTGTTGATGTGGGGCTTAATGTTTACGTCATGGGAGGTTATAAGTGATCTCCTGAGATGACGGTGTTCAAGTATTACCTTATTTAATTCTGGTGCAAGTTTTCTGTGGTTG